CTTTTCAAGATCTCTTACTTATATTTACCACTGAAAATCTTGATCGAAAATTAGCTTTCTCAAAATACAATGATACAAAAATAATATGCCTTGGATACTTTAATGTTATATCATAACTTTGTAATGGATCAAAATCAACAGTGATGTAGGTACTTCATGCCTATAAAAATTGTGTGTTTTTTAACATTTGTGCCTGCGTCTTTGCAAAATTCAGTTCCCTTATACACAGTTTATAAAATCTGAGAATAAATTTAATGTAAGGAAAAGATGTGCCTCTTAATTTTTCTTAGCCAAATAAATAGACTGAAAAATATAGTTATTGTTACAACAACCTAAGATGTGAAAGGCGAAGATGTGATTGTACCCAGCTACCTAAAATAGACACTGAATGCTTTTAGAATAGTTTTAAAAATAGGTCAAAATTTTAAGTATAAATTAGCAGCATAACTTATGTTTTATTATTTTAACTTTTGAAATTGTAAGTATTTGTTAGTATTTTAGTATTTTTATCGCAAAATCTTCTCCATTGTGACCTTTAATATGTATTTTATCAAATGAATAAAGACATCACTAGTAGACTACTGTTAATATTAAAGGTTATTTGGCCTCAATCTACAGTAACATTTTACTTTTAAAACATAAGAATCAGAAATAAATACGGTTAATTCTCAAATTAGCCCTGCTCTTTATCATGCTTCCTATTGGCCAGCATTCCTCTTGTGAGCCAAAATTTAAATTTAGGATCTCCTGCTCCGAAATAGCTGTCTGCCGGCTTCCTATTCCTCTGTGTTCCTGGCTAAATCACCGGTAAGTTCACGTATGTCTGATGAGCTTTCGGAGCAATCGTGGAAATGCGCAACAGTATATCTATATACTAGTCCTTAATGTCAAAATATTATTAAAAACTCGATACTTCGTTTATTTACAACACGTACGCCTGTCCCACACTGATCGACTCACCTGCTGTCTTTACTTTGATTTCAATGCTTTGTAAACGGGTGAAACTCCAGCATACCTTCAGAGTGTTGGTCAAACCGAATCAATGACAACAACTTCGCAAGACAGAGCCAGTAAAAGTCCCACGTGCGACCCTACCAACTTGTTGGAAACCAAATTGCTTAAGAGACGATAATCATATATAATAAAGTTCGGATATAACGCGCGCTGTCATTGGTTGAGAGCGTACTCAATCAGAGTTCAGAACATAGAGCTGAACTAACTATTCTACGGTGTTACACAAGGATTTCCAGGCCTAAGAAAGCCGTAACAACACACATGAAAAAATATGAAGCATGCACCAGACCAGACAGGGTCACAGATCGGATCGCAGATCGAAAAAATCAAATCATTCATAAAATAATAAGTCAAAAAATAAGAGTAAAAAAGCCTAAAATACGCTAATTAAATTAGAAATGTTGCGTGACAGGAAAAACATGATATTTTTCCACCTTTGTTTGGTATCGCCAATCAGCTGCTAACACTTATTCGCCTTTCGCGCCACTCGGTCAGGTTGATGAATGAACGGCAAAGCAAAGACACCATTCTCAATCCAAGGTCATTTGTCGGAATTTTTTCGGGCTATGGCTGCTAAAACACTGAAAAATACGCATCGCTTAGAGCCAATGACATTCAAACTTACCTAGGAGGGGAAGAAAACCAAAATACGGAAAGAAAAACTGAAAGTTACTTATTCAGTGGCTTTGGTAATGGCATTTCTCGCGGCTGAGAACGGAAATCGGCAACTAAAAGATTTGCCACAGGCCGTTTTTGGTCGTGTAACTGAAAGATTTCTTCTGTCGGTAAGGCAAATATTATAATTGAGAATTTTGTATTTTAAAAATTACGTTCATTTACTTTTGTAGAGTTTCATCGCATTTTTTCATCTTGAGCTTTAACGCCAACGCACTTAACGATTTTTACTCGGAGATTGGCGATTCTTTCATTTTCATTCATTAATAAAGTTGACTTTCTTGTCAGTTAAGGGAGATTGTGTTTATTATAACTCGTGAGCTATTGAGTTAAACACTCGAAGAGAAATTCCATATCGACACACGCCCATATATAATTTTCTATATTTTAAATATCATCTTACACGCTACTTTTCCTTTATTCAATATCGTTTAGCAGGCGCGAGAGAAGAGGCGAGGTGAGGAGTGAGGTTTTTTTTAGATATGACTACTGAACGACCACGTCTCGAGTTTCCTGCGTGCTTTACACCAGAACATTGCACAGCCATGGCTTCTCTACTTGCCAAGTAAACGATCATTACGTCACGGTCGCTATTGCCAAATTCCATGGCGGCAGATGAGCGGGAAAAAAGAGAGTCTGGAGGTCGTCATTTCGAAGATCTCGGTAGTTGCCTGTGCGAATAGCTAGTTTTTATTTGACGTGTTTACATCCAAGCCGGAGATTTATTTAACTCTGAAATGCAAACGGTTAAAATATTTGGAAACATGACTGACATTTAGAACTGAGACGCGCGCAACCATCCCAATATATATACGGCTTCAGCACTTTAAGTAAGTGGGACCTCCAAGGAAATGGCCCATATCCAACGGATGAATCACTATTCAGCGGACGAGTTAAGAAAACGTACAGCGCTATCCATCGGCTAGAGATTTATCCAGTGGACATTGTTCTCCACCCTTCGAACAACTGGGGCTTGATAAGCGATTACTTTGTTCTCCCAAATAAAAACGTAGACATGCTAAGCAAGCAAGACTTACCTTTTTGGGTGAGCCACACGTCTTAATAAGTACCCTGTCCCACTAGTGAGAGATTACTCAAGAATATAATTCACGAGATCCTTTTTGAAAACCATATTTGTGTGAAAAAGGTATCAGTATCTCAATAAAGATTATTATTATAGTGACTAATTTGACATTTAACCAATAATCATGGTGGTATTGAAAAAATGATAATAATAACAGTAAACAACTGTGAATTTATAAACATCATATAGGTTAAATAATATGTAACAATAGCACTTATAATGATGATGATGTTACTAATGTGGTCACAAAGATAGAGAAGATTCAGTAGACTCTTTCCAAATTCATCTACTATATGAGTCCACCAAAATAAATTTTATGTGAAATTTTTGTTGCAAGCTGAGCCGGTCAGAGTGAGTAAATAAGCCATGCAGACAGGCCGAAGATACATTAGACATAAGTCTATAAAATATGGTTTTTGTTTCTGTATCCCCACAGTTTGTAGAGTTAATTTGAGGTTTTCAAGTCCCTTTCAGCTCAGATGTCTCTTCTGTACTCTATATTCAATCCTTAGGGGTACTATGATTTGTCTCATCCGTATGGGGCATCTTATATCTGTGTCCTTAGGAGACTGGGGAGAGTTTGTGTCTTTTCTGGAGGCAATCAACGCGACATAGTGACTGATTTGAACAGTGGGTTCAGAACTTCAAATGAAGTAGTCCTAATTAATTTCAATTAATTAATTTTTGACTAAAATACGGACGAATTTTAGACATAGAATACTTTTTTCCCTAGATAATTCTAGATTCCAGAGACAAGCATGGAACAACATGGATAAACTAAATACTTTTAATGTTTTCAAAATCACATCTAAGCCAAACAGCTTCATTTTTTCGTCTAGCTAGGACGTACATTAACCTTTAAACCACAGAACGTAAGACTGATTTGATAACTCTTGTCTGTTTGTGGTATGCAGTCACACATTTTCCACAATACTTGGGAAAAAGAATTGAGAGAGTGTTAGCCCTTTGTCAGAGCAAAGGTTTACATTTCGATAATTTATATCTTCACTTGCGACATTTAATTTATCAATTGTTACAAACTGAAAATAAAATAATATAAAAGGAGCAAAAAAATTATACAGTCAATTGCTTAAGACACTACATTTTCAGAAAAATAGTTTTAAGGCTATTGGAAAAATTTTGCCGTTAAAATAGAATCATGTTCTCTCTAAATAAGTCAACATATTACTTTCAAAATATTCTCAAAATGGCTTTTGCCTTAATGTCCCTTAACTGTCTATCATAAATATATCTACAAATATCAGTTCATTAACCCTATACCATAAATTATTACTTAGAGAATGTTTTCATGTCAACTGCATTTTTCTCTAAAATCTCACTAGGTATATGTCACTGAAAATTGGCTTTTGGCTTAATGTCCCTCAACTGTCTATCATAACTGTATCTACATATAACTATTCATTTGTTCTCTATCATAAATGATCAATCAAGAAACGTTTTAATGCTAACTGTATTTTTTTTTCTAAAATCTCATGCGTTATATATTACCAAAAACTGACATACATGTATGTTCATGCCTATCATATATTATCATCAATATAACAAGCTCGCCTCTTATGACTGAAGATTGGAAAAGCACACCATTACAGATGCTAGTTTTCTTGAATGCTGATTGTACATTTCAATTCATCTACGGAATCACCAAATTGCAAGATAAAATTGATGTCTCCAGTAGAGGAAAAGCTAATTCTTGTGTTTTTCCAAGAATCTATTAATTTTTTTCTTTCATTGAGAATTTTTGGAAAGATCTTCCATTATTAAAAATGTCCACACACAATCCATTAATCTATGATTGTGTACAAGAAATCACCAAACCTTTTGACAGCTATTAGACAAAGTGTCAAATATTAACAAAAACTAATAGCACATGTTACACAAGCACTACCTATAAGGCCTAAGAGTTAAATTCATGTTTGCTCATGTACAGATTGTTGTCAAGGCTCTAGAGCGCAAGCATAATTACATCTTTTTTTCACATGGAGGCTTCAAGAACTAATTGAAAAGCATGTAAAAGCGCTGTGTGAGTGTTATGGTTTTCCAGTGTGTTGTATGTTGTGTATTACCATATATGGTTTGCTCATGCGCACGCATGAGGCTTCATTAAACAGTCTTTTACTTACCGAACCGCCATGTTGTTTGGGGTGTGTAGTTCTTAAGTAATACATGACAGTGAGAGATTAAATTCTCCACATGCCTTTCACATCGAAAATTCCACATGAAATGTGTGAAAAAACTGAATGTAGATTACGCCTAGTTGTACCATTACAAGCACCTACAGGTATGCATCTAGTTTTTAAATATTTACAACATTAACTTATTTTCTCAGCCCATAAACTGCCATCTGAGGCAAACATGGTATCTCACTTTGCATTAACAGGAGTCAGTGGTCTAGTGCGTCAAAGAACTCGTCATCACTGGAATCTTCGAAGTCTTAAACAAATCATATAAATAAATTTTAAACTTCTCTCATAGTTTTACAAATGTGAAAAAACCTTCAGAAGACATAGGTGCAATAGTTTTTCTTAGAGCCTTACACTCCAATGAGCTCATGAGAAGCCTTAGAAATATGCTGGGGAGTAACAATAGCCCTGATCATTCCATGTTACAGAACCCCCATAACTAAGTCACCATCAACTTTCTCTTGTTTGCATTGGGCCAAAATAGTGAGTGTCTTTCTAATTTTGAACACATCATAACTTCAACATATTAGAATTTAATAATGTATCAATTACAACTAGTAGCTTGGAAAATTAAGTTTACTGTTTAAAAACGTTTACCCAGCTCTTTTTGACATTTAATCACCTCAGTATATATAACAACTGAAAATTTACCTGACTTTTGGAGATAAGGAAATGGACCTGGCTGCTCATCAGCTTCTGGTTCAACCTCCTGCTCAAAGACAAAAACATTTCAACATTATCTATCTGGAAATGAGGAGTTGATGACTATTTGATTTCATTTATAAGGACTATAAATTCCTAAGAAGTAAAATGTAGGTTGGTATATTTACTAATTTATTCAGAAAACACTGCAGCTAGAGTCAGCTCAAAAAGACAAAATAATTGTTAAATTTAGCCAAAGAAAGAATACCCTGACGTTTTTAAAAGACTTTTAAATTACAGCACCCAGAAATTTGGTAAAAGAACTCTAGATCAAGCTAAGTACCAAGGTTCATTATGGATACATAACCTCGCCTCTTCAAGCCCAAGATACCAATAAGATTCCATGGTTTGAAGTACAGATCAAGTATGGTAACGCCAAGCAGCTTGGACATTATATAACACTAGCCACTTTGATGCCAAATGCAACCATTTATGTATTAGAACTATGACATTTTAAATCATCAAATGGTTAAAAATTGCACTTACGCTGCAATCTGATGCATTGCCCTCTCCTACAGCTACACTGCTTCCTTCAAAAGCAACACCACCTGCTTGCCTAGCCAGTAATAGCCTGAACCTGCGATTTTCCTGAAACAATTAATTATCACATGTGTAAACATTAAATTTTGGTTAATTTTCTAGAGTTTTAATGGTTTTTATTTTTTGAAGTGATATCACTCCAGGACAGTCAAATAGGGAAAAGGAAACAGAGAACCACAAGGAATGATATGTCAAGAGAGAAATTGCTTCTCAATGCTAAATGGTTGCTTGTGCAGCAAGACTATGCATTGAAGGTACATGTTGCTACTAGTAAAAACTATTTTGCCTGGGACAACTTGAGCTGCAATTAGTCAGTACAAAAACAACATCAACAACCTGACAAACAAACAAACATACAAAAAACACTCACTCAAATGAAGGCAAATATTTCACTAGAAATCTTTCAAGAAATGTTGATTCCTGAGAAGTGCTGTGATAATTAAGTCCACAGCTAGATTCTCATGTCGTAAATCAGTGAATGATATTCAGAGCTCAATACTGAAGCAATCAAAGTGCAAACCAAACCTCAAGTATCCTATTTGACAAATGCTGCTGTTCCTCCAAACTTCTCCTCAGCTGAAAGAAAAGAAATAATAGTTTCTAAGTTGGCAAACTTCAACTTCACCTTAACTTAAGATGATCAGTCTTATAAATATTATAGTCTTAAACTAAAATAACTTTGAGATATCTGTCTCATATTACATTTCAGAGGACTAACTTTAAGTAAATACAAGTAATACTTATTATAACTAAATATAAAGACTGAATACCTATCTAAATAAACTAAATTTTCCTTGGAAGTAAGGCTATTTAGATGTAGATTAAACAATGAGCACTGATTACAGCAGTAATATTTAGTGCTTCCTTTTTATCTGATATAATTATGGAAGCTTAAAGGATGATTTTTTTGCAGCAGTTGTATTTTTTTTCCTGTAATTTAGGTTCCTTAATATTTTTCAGCAAAAAGGAACAGTTATTATAGCATCTACTTAAAAAAAACCACTGAATGATTTTCGGAAGTGATTGAAAGTTCTTTAACTGAGAGCCAAAATGTTAGGATTTGCTAAGGATCTACACAAGTGTTCTTTCTGCTTGACTGTATGATGCTTTGTCTTACCTCTTCATTTTCTGCCTGTAAATTATCTCTAGAAATCCTTAAATTGGCACATACACTGCTGTCTGGATTCCTGGAACAAACCAATCATAATTAAAAGAGAACCGGTATACACAGAAGTCACAGGTGGAAATAATTAATGAATACAAATCTCAAAGGTTGACTGCACCACATCAACTAGTAACAGTAACAGTAACACAATAGAATATACAGATGTACTGTAAATGGCCATTGCTAAACCATTTAAAGGTAAGAGACATTTCAAGCCAATGAAGGCACTTTTCACCTCCTGGCCCTCTGGAGTTGCCATTAATTAACTGGCTATTACAATGAGTCTAAACATAAAAAGCACTTAAAACTGCCTTGAATAGCTCCCTTTAGCCTCTTCAACTCCTCACTCTTGACATACCTCTAAAGTTTGCCTTGACTGGAACAGATCTGCCCTGAGAGTTTGGCAAAATGACTCTTTTTCTCTTAATTCCTGATGAAATGATTACAATATCAAGTTAGGCAATTCAAAATAAGACCATTCCATGATGTGCCCTCCATTTTTATTATAATCTATGTAATACCTTAGGTTAGAAGAGTTTGGTCGAATGTAATTGACTGCCTCTATATTACAAGTAGAAGAAATACCTGCTTTTTAGTAAAAATGATTAAACAATCAAAATTTCACAACATATTTCATCCAAACCTTTATATGGCAACCAATAACAAAGTAAATAAAACAAATTAATTTCAAAATAATTACCAATTGCTGCCAATTCCATATAGCAAAGAAAAGGGGGGAAAAGTGTCACTACACAAAGATTTAGTGGCAAACTGTGTATTATGTAAATATGAAGCTAGGAATAACTACAGCTAAAGAAAAGTTATTGTACAAACACTATTAGGAAATCCTTTATTTCTCTTTGATGCAAGCAACTTCTTCCAAACACTTGGGGAAAAGGCATTGCCACTATTTAAAGTTTTAATAATTACACAGATTAAGGTTGAGGCATGATATCCAGATCTTTTTCTCTTTTGGTAACAGTACAAAGATTGAAAAAAAATTATAACAGTTTGGATCATAAACTCAATTAAAATTTCAACAGAATACTTAAAAATCCTCTATTGATTTATGTGCAACTTACCTTTACTAAATACAGGACACTTTTCTGTGAGGATTCTAATTCCTGAAAAAAATTCATGAAAGTTTCAGAAATGCAAGCATCTTAAAAATAATAAATTATGTTTTAATATAAGATTTATTACTGTGTCTTCCAGACAATTTTTGAATTAATAGGACACTTTCAAGTATTAATAAAACCTAGGGATTTTGTGTTAAATTCCAGCAGTTTCATGAAGATATGAATTTTTAGGCCCACACTGCATTAAAATTCCACACTATTGTTAAAATACACTTGTCTATCTCCTCACAGGTGAATTCAGTTCAGGCACAAGACAACCAGCTGACTTATAACTGAGTATTTCATTTTATATCACACACAACCTAACTTTGACCCCCAGGAAAACAATCAACATAATTATATGTGTGAGTCCCTAAAAATAACACATTCAGCTGCTTATGGTCTCAAATCTTACAAACTGTAAATTCCTGACACCCAGACAAAGGCCTCATTGTTCAATTGGCTTTTCCTTCTTTTCAGATAATGATTAAATTATTGTGTAAGTGCAACAGCACATTATTACCTGTTTTGTTTCTTCCAGTAGACCATTATTTTCTGTGGCATCATAATGTTCTACAGCTCTGTCATCTTCTTCACCAGTCTGGTTTGGCCTGCTGTTATGACGTCCAGTCACTAGTGAGAGGGAGTTTCTACCAGGTTGTGCTCCTTCTGGAGTGTTGGGTCTGGCTGGTGTTATTTTGCAGTGATCTAGCTGCCTTTTGGTGATCTGATGTTTAGTTTTTCCACCTTCAGGTATAGTGGCAGATGCACTGTTTTGGTGCTGAATACCTTCATGCCCTGAGGCAGGTGCATCCATTCGAGTAGTGGATAATGATGTCATCTGGGAGAGGGAGTTGCCTTCTTCTGAGGAGGACTCAGTATCTTGATTTTCATTTCGTAACAAGGAATCACAAAAGATTTCACAACCAGCAGAATTTCTTGCAGCAATTTCAATCAATTCTGGAGGAGGGGAACTAGATTGAGGACAGTCGCCCGTAAAATCTCCTGCTTGTATGGAGGGTAGATTTAAATTTGACTCACTATCCTGCCTAACATGCCTAACAGTGCTGTGTGAGGGCTGATACCAGTTCCTTTTTGGAATGGCTCCTTGGTATTCCCTTGCTCTCAGGTCATTCTCTATGTTTGTTAATGAAGAATCTGGAGTAGAAGGACTGTGCTTGGATTGTGCTCTTTCAGGAGTAGTGAGTATAGCTGGGGTTCTTGAACGACCAGGCTGCATTTGGGAATCCTCTGAGAGGCTTGGCAGCAATTGAATCCCATGTTTAGCTTTTCGCGGCTCAGGTATAACAGTAGAGGCACCATTTTGGTCCTGATATTCTTCATTCCTTCATGAGTACAATAGAGCAGTGGATGATGATGATGTTGTCTGGGTGCAAGAGTTACCTTCTCCTGAGAAGAACCCGGTATCTTGACTTTCATTTTGTACTGAAGAATCACAAAGAATTGAACAATCAGCAGCATTCCACTCAGCACTTTCAATTGACTCTGGAGAGTGGAGACTCCAAGATTGAGGACATTTATCACCAAAATCTCCCCCTGGTATGGAGGGTAGATTTAAATCAGACTGACTTCCAGGTGCACCAATCAACATTTTCTCCCCAACATCAGGCTTAACAGTGCTGGGTGGAGGCTGAGGCTGTTTAGTTTTTGGGATGGCTCCTTCTCTTGCCCTTGGGTTAACTACTGGCAATTTTAAGGAAGGATCTGGAGCAAAAGAAGATGAATACTTAAGAGTACATACATGAGAGTGAAATGAAACATTAAGCTTATAATAAAAATTCCCAGATGAACATGTATCACAAGAACTAAGTAACATAAAACAGCAAATTCTCAATATGTACATGAACAATGTAGAAAAGTTTTGATAATATTACTCACAATCTTTAATATGCAATTATATAAGTCTTATATCGACAGTTATTCTGTTAGAGTTAAAAAAAAAAAGTTTTTTTTTTAACATGCAATGAACAAATGAAACCCCCTAACAATTTACTAATTAATCAAATAGTTTTTCATGTCAGTTTAAGTCTTTCAGGGCAAATTAATCAATTCTGTATTGTGGTTCTACAAGGTCAAAATAAGGCATAAAACTATTTTTTTGAGGTGAAGTTGGACCCAAAGGCTGACAAAAAGTTCAAGCATTTACATTTGAACTCTAAGCTGCAATTTAAAAATGTTTCAATCAAAAGGCTTCAGTTCTCCTTTAAAATAAAGCAAAACATCACAGCAGAATAACCGAGATGGGTGTTATACAAATGTATATAAAACCTGCAACCTCTGGTTGATGGAACATTGATAAGAAGTAAGATATATAGCACCATGCAGATTTCCAAGTTAGACAAAAGCTGGGCTCAAGATTGCAACCAAATGCTAAAAGTTCTTGTTTGGTTGCTACCTCGGCAACTAGATTTTTGTGTGTTTTTCAGTTACCTGTAAATGAGTCAAATTCAAGAGTACCTCATATTGTCTAGTGTTTCTGATCTTGAGAAAAATGGATGAAACTTGTATAAACAAAGTCTGTTGTCATCGAACACCTCCATCTTATGACACACATTCTGAATGTACATACATGACCACTCCTTTTAAATGCAGGTGCAGAATTTCAAGAAGTTACTTCATATTTATCAATACATTGCACTAAGACCAGATTTGTGGAAAATAAAGAAGCAACTTTTTAACTGGCAACAAAATATTTAATGCTGATGTTATCACTTTACACCACTCAGGCACCAAAAGGCGAAAGGCAAAGGAACACTTTAAATAGCACATTTGATCATTGTCAAAATGAAGGCATGTTTGCAGTCACATATATATATAGTTCATAGTAACACATTAAGAAACACATGATTTTTCTTTAACTACTAGGTAAACTCACCATTCACACAAAGAAAAGGCTTATCTTGTAAAGGAACACCTCTTGGTTCAACTAAGTCCTGACTAGGTTGAGTTCCTTGCAGAGACTTCTCTGCTTGTAGTGACCCACTGCAGTTTACTTCACCCACAGCTGTTGGATTAATCATCATTACACTCTGATCCACAGCCAAAAGATCTTCAAGTTCCTTGGACAAATGCAGCTTCTTAAAAATGAACTTCCATTTTTCTAATGTCAGTGCTTGATTTCTGCTTTCATACTGGTTAACAAGATCAGCAACTGTTGCATAAGGGGAGGTATCATGAATGTACAAGGCTTGGGCTAGTTCCTCCAAAGGAAGTTTTTTCGACTCTAAAAGCTCCAACAATTTTGCTTTCAAGGTGGGAGAAACATCCAAATGTCGCCTATCATCTGATTCCATTTCTGAACAAAATACAGTAAGTTCTCATTAGAGACATAATACCAACAATAGGAACCTAATTGCAACTCAATTGAATTTCTTACTACAACGCCAGAGTGTCCATTGATATTTGTTGCAGATCAAACTTTTCCATCTGGATGACAAACAAATGACTTGATGATTTTGTACGGAACATGTACACAAAAAATGGCAATCTTGAATTTATTTCATACATGCTGAGATTTACACATGAAAAAAAGCCCACACTAAATTCATAACAAATATGCAACCAACCAATCAGAAGTGGATCACTGTGAAAATACATTATTATCTTTGTCTCTGTTTTAAAAGTAGGGTTCTCGAAAAATTCACATGGTTATTCTCAAGTATTCTTATGTTAAGTAGTTTTCAAGATGTTTTCCTTGACTCGAAAAAGGCTTGCACGGTACTTAGCGCACTTAGAATCAATACTAGTTCGTTGAAGTAACATGCTCATTCAATATTCGATCGCATGCTGTTATTTAATATTAAATAGGGTTAAATTAGGTTGCGTTCACTTCTGTATATTGAACGTTTGGGGGGCCGAAAATACAAATAGGCAGATACATATACAGGTCTTAGTTATAGAGGCACACAGCTGATATCGAATTATCAGTAAAAACTTCAACATTTTCTCACACGGTAAAATTGGAAAGATACATACCGATTGATGAAAGTGCGTAGGAACTTAACTGCCTTTACTCTGACTTTAAATAGCGTTTACTCGGTTAAGACTCTAGCATATCCTAACAGTGTTGAGTAAATCGAACCAATGAAAACAATTCCGAACCGGATGAAATCAATTGTGCCCACAATTTCACGACCAGACAACTCAAAATGGCGTTTCCTACGTAATGGACTTTGAAACCAGTGCAGTTACGTCACTATTTGCCTTAGTGATTGGCGAATTCTTTGGCGGGAAATGAGCGGGAAATAGATTAAGAGAAAGAGAGCCTGAAGCCTTGGGTATTTACCTTTCTGAATGGCTGTTTTTTTTGTTTGACATTCTTCCATTTAAGATGGAAATTTAACCACTTTAAAGATATTAGGATCTATCATGCTATTCCTTCCAGTACTCTCTTATCACAATACTCTGGCGAGGCCAGTCTGGCACCTGTTCCTGGTTGATTTGGAGAGGAGAGCCAGAAAACACGAGCACGTTCCCTTGAAGGGAGTTATAATACGCAAGCAGATTTCAATCAGTAACCCCATGGCTTCAAAGCACCTTAGTGCCATATAATGCATTCGTAGGGGTTTAATTTTGAGTTGTGATATTGTTAGTTGAGTTTTCGTTGGTGCGTATCCTCTAGCCTACGTGTAACCGTAGCCTCCCCCTGCCTAAGGTGAAACGGTCCCCTCGCTTCCGTTTCACCTTGAGGGAGGGAGAGGGTACGACTTCACGACTTCACGTAGCTTACGTATCCCCCAACCCCCTAGATAATGTTTACAACGATCCCCTACAAACACACATTTACCCAAGAAACAAAATAATTTTGCTAATATTTTTTCTTGGAGTTAAACAAGCATAATAACCGTACTTCTAGGAGTGTTGAATACTGAAGAAATACCTGAGGTTCACACCTCATAGAGTCTTCACATTCTACGGTCCTGAGCCCAGTTGTATAAAGGGTGGATAACGCTATCCGACGGATAAATCGCTATCCAGCGGATAAGTGATAGCAAAACGTAGTGTTATCCACCAGGTAAAGATTTATTCAGTGGATAGTGTTATTCAATCTTCAAGCAACCGGGGCCAAGAGACTAAATTTCTCTCCCACATAAAAACACAGGCATGCTACGCAGGCAAGACCTATCTTTTTGGATAGGTAGGTCACTCCTATTGAGGAGTAACCTGTTCTACTACAGAAAGATTACTCAAGAATATAGTGACTAAATATACGTTCGAACAATAATCATAATAATATTAATAAAATGATAATAATAACAGTGAACGACTGTGAATGTGTGAATATCATATGACAGTTACACAATTTGTAACAATAGCAGTAATGATAATGATGGTGGTCTCAAAGATGGGGGAATTTCAGCATTCAACCTCAGGATGGGTCCACCAAAGTAAATTTGCATAGGCAATAATGATATACACGACAAAATGACACGCGTGTGATTGGCTGAAAACGAGTGCATTTTTCATGTAACACGAGTACACCAGTGCAAAATAAAAATAGCGCGCTCGCTGTCAGAATAACGTCTGTCTGAACTTTCTCTATCTTCTGTGTGCTCCACATTTAATCTTCGAGTAACTTATTGTCAGTCTCGTTCATACAAGGCATCTCATTACATCTGTGTCCTTAGGAGGCTGGGGAGAGTTTGTGGTTTTTTCAAAGCCACGATGGTAAAAACGTCATGGCTGAATGCCATATAGATACAATGGCTGACAACAAAATCATGGAATGATGTATTACCATATGGACAATTGCTGATTCAAGCAGCCGGTTCAGCACTCCTAGAAAGTGATTTATTCCGAGTAGCATTAGTCATTGTCTAAATGTGGATAACTTTTTTTTATTCTCCTAAATAGTCCGATGGATAATTCCAGATTCCAGATACAAACTGGTCAGGATTAAGAGCAGCACACAGAGAACAACAGAGGTAAGTTAAATACTTTTAATGTTTTTAAACATCGCATCTACAAAATTACAACTTGATTTTTTTGTCGAGCTACGACATAAAATAACCTTTGCACAGTATATAAGACTTTTTGATAATTTAGTGCTATACAGTCACGCACTTTGGCCAATACTTCTGTCGATCTGATCCCCGCCCCCCGCCCCTAGAGATAAATAATGACCGATCCCTAGTTGAAATTAATTTGAAGAATTCATCACATATAAATCGGGCAAATTAAAATAACTTTTCATATTCAATATTCAATAACTTTTTCCGT